GCAAAAGGGGAGATAAAAAATCAGTGACAGAAACTACAGGGTACTTTCCAAGCGTGAACTTCATGGGCATCAAATCCTTATTGGAGGCACTTCTGATGCCCTCAGATGTCTCCCCAACAATTAGCTCCTGTTGACCACTCCTTATCAACAACGTGGGTCATTAAGGAAAAATAAAAGTGTACATTTTTTTATAATATATGTAATCTTCACCTTTGGTATACACAGATAATCACAATGTGGAAAAACACAAAATCAGATATTCAATAAATTAAATGTATCATGAGCCCAGACAATATCCTAAAACCAAAAACATTACATTGGTGAAATGAAAATTACAAACACAGGCAAAAGATAGATAGCACCTTTGCTTCAGTCAACCATGTAAAGAAATGTCAAGATATATAGATCTGAAATATATGTAAACTTAGAAAATTTGAAAATGAAGTTAGTATAACCTCAAATTTAATGAAACATTATTGTACTGGGCACTGATGACTTCAAAAACCTATTACCTAAATTGCAATATTGTACTTTCTTTTCGAGTGACAATTTAAAGAACTTCATAATTTGTAGTCATATTAATGGCTAGAATAATATGGTGAAATATAATCAAATATCTAGCAAACATTATTATTTCTTGAACAGTACTTGCAGCAACTTTTAATATATCTTCTCAAATAGGTTTCTTTACTACTAGATGTACATTAGACTGCATATAATATTTTAATGCCATTAATATTACCTGTACACAAGACTTTCTGTGGCTGATGACTGGAAGACAAAATAGTGTTTACATTCCTTCCACTTTGCCTTTCATAAGATGTTCACTATCTTTTACAGTCCACTTTCAAATGAGAAATCTATCTTTTCTTTAATGCCTATACTTTGACAAATTAATAAAAATAAAAAACTTAATAACTTGCTTTTTATTGACTTTCCTGGTTTGACATCAACTTTATTAATTCATGGGACAAAATCATTTCAAGATTTTTCAAACAAGTCTAACATTAGAGTACATATCTATGAACACACTGGAAAGCATCAACGCACTTCAAAATAGCATAAGCACTTTAAATTTGACAAAAAGAAAAGAGGAAATTACAAAACTATCTCACACTGTATACATCATTCCATAGCTTTTCCCTTAACATTATATTTGATGTTTGTTCTCTAAACTTCAATAAAAATTACTGCTTGCTTCCTGAACCATAACCTTTTGTCATCCATTTTATTTGTTCTTTTATGTAAAGCTGACTAGAATATACAAATATAGAGTAGAGGCATAAAATACTTATTTTCTATTATTACCATTTTCCAATGTGCATTAAAGGATAGATTCTCCACACTACACATTGATTTGTGTAAAAGGATGGAATGGGTTATTTGCGGTCCATAATACTGTAAATAGGCAAACAAATCTATGATAATCTTGAGATTTTTTAAAAATAATTCTACCATATCAAGTTGAACACTTTTCATTCCTAAGAAATTGCGTAACAAAATACACAGGGAAACTTCCTTTAAACCAAAACCAAAACAAAAAAAAACAAAAAAACTTGTTATTGCACAATGTGAAGTAAGAGAAAACAAAAAGAACTTAAACCATATAATGCTGTGATCCTTTGAATATAAATATCATTCCAAATTATAAAAAAAGGACTGTCCTTCACTTAAAAGTCTCCCAAGAGGTTAATGTCTTCAAAATTTCCTGTCTTTGTCTCCTGCTGTGGCTTACTGTCATTCAGGGTGATGTCTGCCAGTGGCTGGACAAGCTCTGCCTCTGTTGCTTCTGTTGCACCTTCAGTATCCAGCAATTCTTCATCATCCTCTTCACTCTGGATAATTTCAGTTATCATTATTATAGATACATAATCCTACAACAAAGTGACTGGATGTCTGAAGATAATAAAGTAAAATTCATATATTCCTCCAATCTCATGAATATGTATTTGAAAATCCACCGTACCTGTATGCTGTCACTGCGATTATCTGACTGGAGAGTAGTCCCAACCATGTCCAGTTCAATTGGGAACCAGTGTTTGTCATGCATAAGCTCCTGACACTGGCTGTGGTATGTAGCCAGACCAGATATGAGTCTAGTAAGTTGTTCAGTAAGGTGTTGGACATGTTTTGAATCCAGCAATTCTAACTTGACAAGAACGTCAGATCTCAGTTTGGCAAATTTGGCCCTGGCATCTTGGCGGCAACGTAGAATCAGTCTGAAGAGGAAGAAGAACTTATATTAGTCCCTACACACTATTTTATAATATCAGAAAATCTTTAAATGAATATGCATACTGCACCTTTACTAAAAAAAAAAAAGGACAAGCAAGGCAATTTCCATTTAAATAAGTGCATGATCATGTTTTGCTATGTTATGATCTAAAAAATCTATAATACAGAATGAGAGGGTTATGGATATCTTTTCTTGAAAATATTTGGTTTAATAGAAGCAAAGAACTCAACAGAAAATGTTACTGACAAGCTACAATTACCAAGATTTACTTACAGAAAATTATTAATCAAAGCTCTCTACCTGCATGTACTGCATTTTTGGCTCTTTTGCAATCAATATCCTAATCAGGCCTTTATACTTGCTACGTATCCATTAACAATAAAGAAATATATATCACACTACAGGTTGAATTCCAGTATAATAATCTTCATAGCACAATAACATTCATAGCTACCAAAGTTCAGTCACATCATAAATCCACATAACAAATAAATATAAACATCTAACAGCACAAGCAATAACTCACCGATACTCATAATTTCCAGTTTCCACCCTATACAAAGGCTCTTGCAACTGAGCAAACTGCATCTCTTCATCATCCATTTCCTTCACCTTAAGGCAATAACTGAGGTATTCAAATTTCGTGTCGGCATATCGTCTGATTGTCAACCTTGTGTCGGGAATGGCCTTGTGCAGATATGTACCCAGGTCGCTCAAGATCTGAAAAAGTATAGGTTTTGGATGTAACAATAACAAAAATCTAAAAAAATTAACATACAGATCTACAAGCACATACACTCAACTCCTTTATCTTCTATCTGTATAATCCAAGACATGAAACACATATATACTATTTAAAAGATTAAAAGCTAAGCATAATAACAAAAAAGCTTACTGGTTTTAGTCTCTTCAGCATCTGGATCCCAAACTTTTCCATTTGACGGTGTGCTTCCCCAAACTGATTGAAAGCCTCATTTGCCGACTGCTGGAGTTCACGTACACCAATTTCACAGAAGATGTCACCAAATCCTGTTGAATATGTTAGTGTTAATGCCTGATATGCTTTCCAATTTTACAGATAGGAAGAAAGAAGAAGAAGAAGAAGAAGAAGAAGAAAGGAAGGAAAGAAAGAAAGGAAGGAAAGAAAGAAAGAAAGAAAAAAGAAAGAAAGAAAAAAGAAAAAAAAGAAAGAAAAAAGAAAGAAAGAAACAAAAAGAAAGAAAGAAAAGAAAGAGAGACAGAAAGAAAGAAAGAAAAGAAAGAGAGACAGAAAGAAAGAAAAGAAAGAGAGACAGAAAGAAAGAAAGAAAAGAAAGAGAGACAGAAAGAAAGAAAGAAAAGAAAGAGAGACAGAAAGAAAGAAAGAAAAGAAAGAAAGAAAACTATCAAATGTACAAGCACCATTTCAACTCACTTTTATAAACAATGCAGAGGTCAAAGAATGCCTTCAGTAATCTCTTGGTGTGATCCATCAATGACCTGTACATGTCTTCTGTTCTCTGAAGGTCATCCAGCTTCTTCACAAGAGAATCGTTGCACAATATAGCCCGGGACAAACCAAGGGCGTCTGCCGTTGAAGAAGACATGTTCTCTACCAGTCTGTGTTTTACTTTTTTCATGGCAATGTCCAACGTTTTCCCTTGTTTTGGGTCGGCATGTAATTTGTTGTACTGGATAGTAACAGTACCCTGTCGAGAAAGAAATTAGTAAGAAAAAATGTACACTTAGTTAGATAAGCAATTATTAGATTACTCTGATGTAAGCCTTCTAAAATGCATAGAAAAAAAATAAATAAATAAACAAATCCACTTTCAATATATCTATCCACAAAAGTTGCAAATCTAACTCTTCCATTTCAGAAAACTCAGAACTTATATAACCAGATAACCTTGACGTATACCTCTGACCGCTGTATGAGCTGTGCAACCTCTTGCTTGGACTTCCCCTTCACATTCACTCCATTCACCCCGGTGATCTCATCTCCACTCTGCAGGGTGCCATCCCGAGATGCTGCAGTGTTGTCAAAGACCTGTAGGGAGAGATTGTCTTTAATAGCTTGGGATTTCATTTTTTTTCTTTCTTTCTTTTTTTTGATAACCATGTAATACAATACAATACAATATCAATAGCATTTTAGAACAATAAGTGAATAAAAATAGATAAAATAGGTATAGGACATTGCAATAGGTACAACAAATAAGAAAATTCTATGAAATGCCTTATTGTGACTTCATGAGTAACATACTGAGCATTAAAATAATTTGTCTGAAGTTGACCTGATCTCAGAGACTAAACAGGTATAAGCATAAATATAAAATCACACATAACAAATAGTAGGCCATCATAATCACAACCACATATTCATATTCATGCATTTAAATGTCAATAACCTATGAACATTACAAAGCAAGATTCTGAAAATGTTATGACTCCCTAAAGCTTACATTTTATAATTGTTATCTACATAACTATTTTCAATAATTTTTACTGTTCTTTGCCACTTCAGTGAAAAATAAAGAAAAAAGATAAAGAAAAAAAAGAGAGAGAAAAAAAAAAAAAAAATGTATATATATATATATATATATATATATATATATATATATATATATATATATATATATATATATATATATATATAAAACTCTATAATCCCAGTACACACAAAATGGCACATGCATAGTTGGAGCTCTGAACTACTATCACAGCAGTATATACAATGAGACAATTGTACAGTATATTCATTCTTTAAAAAATCAAAACAAATGCACATATATATTCATTACATACACACATAAACTTATAAGTAAAAAACAGGCTAATGTTATTTTTGAAATTACCTGTACAACATAGAGACACGGACAGTATTTAGCTCCGCCCCCAATACTAATGCCGATGAGGTTACTGTCATCTTTCTCAAGGTTGACACTGCCTGAGGTGACTGTCATACCCCTGGTAAATAATGTTAGTTAGTAGACTGTTAGTAATCTGTCAGAAAAAAAGAAGGAAAAAAAAAAAAGCATATACACGTACAATGTGTTATGTGCATAAAAGAAGGTTAGTGCATATTTATACTTCTACCATTTCTCTTCAAGTCAAACCCATAGCTCTATATAAACTAGCTTCTATAACAACTCTGTTTGACATTCTATCTTAAAAAAAAAAAAAAAAAAAACATGAAAATACAACTATTATCAACAACTCTTAAACATTCAACTACTACTTGAATAACTTTACTGTATATCTACTAAATATGGAATTGACAATCCTTATGACTTACAATAAACATTCCCACAACAAGTACAATCACAAAAGCTGTCCATGCATTGCAAGCAAACATTCAACATACACAGAGGAGCAAAAACACAGAACAGCACAAGCAAGATGATTACCAGCATCCGGGCAACGTTCAAGGGCACAGAGCCAGAGAGGAAGGAAGTAAGCTTAAGTACTAAAGTAAGCTTAAGTACTTATAAAGGGGTGTGCCAAGAAGCAAGAGTATCAAGGGAGAAAGACTTATAGTTTGATAAGTATACCTTTCTCCCACAAGTGACTGACTCTCCAAGAACTTGTAGAAATATATTTACCTGTCCCATTCTGGGGTCCTGTCTTTTCTTACTATTCTACTTTTAAAATTTTGGTATTTGAGGATTTATACAAAAAATTCAAATCTGCACAATATATACAAGCTGTGTACGAATGTGTTATTTTTAGGCTTCCATTGCAAAACCTATCAAAATGCACAATTCACATCAAAATAATATTTTATTTCTATTTGCTTGTGATATAGTTGTGATAAAAAGAAATGCCATAATCTCAGTAACAATAAACTCAGTAAAAGATTTCTTCTTTGACCCACCAAACTTAAGAGGCATTCCTCTGTGTATTTTGTGAAAGCCAGATATGGGATTTGTGGTTCAGACAACTTGAACAAGATGAAAATATGTCATTTCTGGCCCGGAGAACTTCACAACAGAAATAACAGATAATCTTCTATTTTATGCATCTTATCAGTGGTTCCTGAACTGGGTGCTTCAAGTTTCCACTATCTGAATTTTAAGATACTCTCATTCTTCTGGTAAATTTAATGTTTGTCACATTTAGTCACATAATCTATCTATCTTTTGCTTCAAGCAGTAATAATTCATGGAACAAGCAAAGATGCACTCTTGGAGGGGGGGAAGGGGTTCAGGATAAAAAAGATTATGTGAATTTGGATGCTATCACTGAGTAATGTTTGGGAACCACTGAAAAAGTAATAACCATTTTTTCATATCAAAATTACTTTAATAGGCAGTGTATGCAAAAATCATTATGAAACATTCATCAAATCTCTGAAGAGGATACAAAAAATGCAGGTAAACAAAACTAGTATAACAGATTTCTTTTCCTTTCTAAAAATACTTATTTAAATATGAACTCAATATGGTAAATATACAGTACAACTGACTAGTGATCTCCAGGATATCTGAAGTGTAAACAAGCAATAAGTTCATAGAATGAGATCCACTTCAAGTTGTCTGAGCCTGTAAATCATTCCAGTCTTTATTATACAAATCCTATATGCAGTATAATAACCTTTACAGTATACATATCAAATATTAGGTGGTATCATCAGAAGAGAGGGGGAGAGATACTGAAGCCAGATTCCTCTTGTGGGGGGAAAAATAAAAAAGCATTAAAAATAAAAATCCTTAGAAATGAGCACCTACATGGGGTCAGCAATGCACAACAGCATTTGGGAAGTCACAACATATACTGAGTTTATAAATAAGGGGGCAAACCTTCAGGTGTTACAGATTAAATTGCCACACAATACCAAACAAGGTGGTCCCAGGCATGGCTAATTGAAGCCAGTGCAACCACACTGCAAGCACTGGTGAAGGTAGAGAGGTATTAAAAAGTAAATTCTCAGGACTCAAAATTTCACTGACTGGTTTCAATCTTAGCTCCAGCATACATTACGAGTTTATGATATATCTGAATGTGGCGAGAACAAGGAGACACTCAAGTCACCAAATCTGCTCAAACAATTACTGCTTGACCATACTTGTCTTTTCAAGCCTTCTGGGTCTCTAAATACCTACTGCACAAACAAATTCTGGAAAGGGGTTAATAAAGGCCAAATTGTTTACATGACAGATGTTAGATCAGATTGGTCAATTCAAGAATTTAAGGACTCTAAGATGCTTCTGATGAACTGCGACCTCAATGTAACATGAAATGGAATTTGCCTTTTAAAGGAATAAACAAACAAATGAAAAAAA